CTCATACCCTGTGCTTCCCCATTTAATTTTAAAATGGAGCGCTTAAAAGGAATACCGCATCTTAGTGGTTTCCGCGATGGTATATTTTGTTTTAGGAATTTAATATCTACACTGAGTGCCGAGGATTCTTTAGCCTTCCCAAAAATATTGATGAAATTATATACTTTGGACGTGATTTTTATTATTTACAATTCAATGCAAGGCTCTCTCTCTCCCCGCTATTATGGCAATAAAACCCGGGTCCGATAGGTATTAAAGAACAGAACATTAGGAAGGAACTCTTAAAGGTTTGAACTGAGGTGGTTTTTATTTTATGAAACTCCATTTATCAAAATAAATAAAAACTAAAAGTTCAGATCTTCACGAAATTATATATTTTGACAAGACAATTGTTTTGACAACACCGTGTCTTTATCAAATGTCAAAAACATTTAAATGTCAAAAACATTTGATAAAGACACTGTGTTGACAAAACAATTGTCATGTCAAAATATACAATTTCGTGAAAATCTGAACTTATAGTCCTTATTTATTTTTGTAGCTATAATCTTATACAATAAGAAAATATAATGAAATTTTACATAAAATAAATTAAAAAATAAAATAAAATAAAATATATAATAAAATAAAACATAACAAACAGTAACATTTTCTAACAAATATTTACGGATTTCGGTTTTTGAAATTGATAAGCTTGCTTTATCCATGACAATAACACTGTTATTGGGATTATTTTGTAAAAGATTGTTTTGAAAGCAATTTTCAAAAGTTTCGGCACATGTATCCTGATGATAATCCTTCATCTTCTTTGCAGACGACAGCAATCCGTCTTCTGACCCAGCGTGTACTATTTGAAGGTGCCGCCTGAGAGTTTTGATTATAATTGTTTTGATGTGATTCCATTACTACTTGCCTCTTTTTCTATTTTGCTGTACTTGAATCCCATGCAGGGTGGCATGGCTTATATTTACATTGGTTTCATCTTCTTCTAGCTTCTTTTTCAGTTTATCCAAGGTAGAAACAACTTTGCTTTGATAAAGATAATATATTTCTCTTCTTATTAGGTCCTCATCACTATTCTCTATATGAAAGAATAATTTTTTTGTTAATGAATTTACCCAATAACAATAGGTAATAACATCGTTAAAGCTTTTTTGTAGAGGGTCAGCTGAAAGTCAACACGATCAAGATTCAGATAAACTATACCTCTAAGAAAGACAATGACGGAACTGATGATCGTACTGTAGTACTGTAATTAATCTTGCTAATGTTTTGGCAATCATACTGTTGTCTTCTAAATAACTAACCAAAACCTAAGTGCATACAGCTTTAGTAATTTGACGGATGTCGAATAAGTCTGATTATACGAATAGTAATATAGCAATAAAAGACCATAATCGACCCTTCTTCTAAGTTGCCAAATGACAAAACCGTGTGTGTGTGCATAATTTTTTGAGAATATAGTTCACCTAATGAGACCAAGAAAGACCAGAATCGAAATAAGCTCCCAGAAATTTCGCAACTCGCCTCTCCTCGATCGTTTTATTATTCACTCAACTAAGATGCTCTTATCTATGCCTCTTTGCAAGAAATGAATCAATTAAGTAAATCAATAGCGGACAACATAAGGGAGAACGGGATTTGATCAAAACCTGCTGAAGGCTTTTTAGAAATAGATCAAATTATTCCTATCCCGTTTCCTAAATTTAAGTTAAAATTTAAATCAAATCCGGAAGTTAGAAGAAGTTTTATTGTTATCAGTAAAATATGTTATTAATGTTTGCCTCTTTTTTTATAATGCCTGCGATATACTGCTCGAACTTAACATAAAATGATTCTTGTATAATTTCTTTGCATGGGCAATTTTTTTCTGATGTAGCTTTTTTAAAATATTATATTTATTTACAATGTCGATATCTTTTTTTATCCTTACAGACTTTGTACAAATCTCTCATCAAACAATCCTCTTTGATAATGTCGCTGGAAATCCACGGCTTTTTATTAATTTTACCATCAGACTTACATCTTTCTAGGGGAAAACAAAATCTAAAGTGCACCATAAATGTTTCGAAGAACCAACCAAATTTATTCTCTAGGCCCTCCCGGTCACGCAAGGCAGCCAATCTACGTTAATTGGTTCCTTCCCGAAGTTATTAACATTATTTTCTTTAGTAAAGCGTCTTCTATAAATTGGAACAGATTCTACTTTTTCATTGAGCGCACAAAAAGATACTTTTTGCATGAAATGATCGGATATATCTGTATAAATCACTTGAGCACTTAAAGCATTTACTAAAAGCATACTAAAAATGTTGTCAATTACAGACTTGTGATTATGAGAAAGGCGAGTATATTCAAAGATTGTTTTATTCAAACCAAAGGATGTAAACAGACTCACAAGTGCTGCCACCTGTCTAGACTGAAAATCGTCAAAATTCCCATAAATAGTCTCCTCATTTTATCTTCTCGATGGACGGAGATTTCTTCCTAAGACTAACTACATTGTAACGCAAAAAGGCAAGGTTTCCAAAATAGTTGAATAATCGCGGAATTTAATCAACTCCGATTTGCATGTTAATTTAATGTCAAGTTACGTTATGAAGTTTTGGGGGACCTTTATAAACGGTGGAAAATATTCATGGCGGTGCAAAAGCAATTTTCCCAGACTGGAACGGGACGACACGTGCTTGACAAAAGAGTTTTTGTGAAAACTTGGGGCGATTTAGTGCTGAACGTAAAGGAAACCTAATGAAATGAAAACTTGACAAGTGTGACACAAGAGTGACTTGAAAAGTTTGCGAATAATCATACAAGACGCAGTTATAGTTAAGCCTTTTTGAGTGCTACTTCCGCCTAAGCCTTTTATTCTTCTTATAAAAGAAAATATGGGGCCTAAAGTAATGGTTGTTGAAGATAGTAAATTGAAAAAAAATTTCTAGCGATTTTTTAATTTTTTGCGAATTTATGACTTAAAATTATTTAAAAAGCCATGAAATTGTATTCTAAGTATTTGAACTTACTATTATTATAAATATAAATATTATTTTATATTATGTATCGGATGATTCTAAATATATACAAATATCTAAAATTACCTAAATAAGTGCGTTTTCGTTGTAAGTAGAAGTAGACGTTTACACTTCTTAAGGGTCTGGTTTTTATGGGCTAAGTAATATAATTATTAACTCTAGGTTGTAATGAAACACTCATAGAAAGTTTTGGATAATATGTCACTATCGCATTTACTTTTTGTTCCATTCTCTCCCATTTTTGCAACAATAAGTTTAAATTTATAAGTTGGTACCATTAGTACCGATTGATATCGAGTTAAATATTATTACAAATATTAATATTACATTATGCATATTTGGGTTTGATAAAATCACATTAGTAATAATAGAGATACGATTCCAAATATAAAGAGATATCTATAATTACCTAAATAAGTGCGTTTTAATTCAAAATATTATTCTGCTTCATTCTCTGAAAGAATCCTAATTTTTTTTAAATGTGCTGGTGTATTTTACTACATTATTATTTAAATTTATTACACTTAAAGACGGAGTGACTTTTCTGCTCTCACATTTCACTTGAATGTTGAAACATTGAATATAAGATGATATGGAGGAAGTAGAATGGCACACGCAAAGTTGCTAGTTAAAAAAAAATCTTAATAACTTTTCAATTCCATCACATGCTCCCCCTTGTCTTTCTTTAATCGTAGATAAGAACACTACATTTGGATTTATAATTATTTATATTTTTTCCCAGCACTTTTTAAGGGCCAAGTAATATAATTATTAACTTCGTATTTACAACAGAAAAATCGATACTTTTGTATCGATCGTGTGGAAAGAAGTATATTATGAGTAGAAGCAGACGCTTACATTTGTAAAAGGTTGTGAAGTCTGTTTTACACTTATATTACACTTCCTAGAGGTTTTTATTGGCCAAGTAATTTAATTATTGACTCTAAGTTCTAATGAAACACTCATAGAAAGTTTTGGATAAAATATCACTATCGTATTTTCATTTTAATTCTCATAAGTTTCTCGGCACTTGATAGCATACCGAATGGACTACAGAAAAATCACAATCAACCAATCACACCAAGTTGAAAGGTGAAAAAAAGTTATTAACTTCTCAATTGCAACACATGCTCAATCTTGTCTTTCTTTAATCCTGTATAAGAACACTAAATTTTGATCTACAATAATTTATATTACACTTTTTAGTGGCCAAGTAATATAGTTATTGACTTCAGGGTTTATATGTATCAACTATCGTATTTACAACAGAAAAATCGATACTTTTGTATCGATCGTGTGGAAAGAAGTATATTATGAGTAGAAGCAGACGCTTACATTTCTTAAAGGTTGTGAAGTCTGTTTTACACTTATATTACACTTCCTAGAGGTTTTTATTGGCCAAGTAATTTAATTATTGACTCTAAGTTCTAATTAAACACTCTTAGAAAGTTTTGGATAAAATATCACTATCGTATTTACTTTTTGTTCCATCTCGCTCATTTTCATTTTAATTCTCATAAGTTTCTCGGCACTTGATAGCATTAGTACCGAATGGACTACAGAAAAATCACAATCAACCAATCACACCAAGTTGAAAGGTGAAAAAAAGTTATTAACTTCTCAATTGCAACACATGCTCAATGTTGTCTTTCTTTAATCCTGTATAAGAACACTAAATTTTGATCTACAATAATTTATATTACACTTTTTAGTGGCCAAGTAATATAGTTATTGACTTCAGGGTTTATATGTATCAACTATCGTATTTACAACAGAAAAATCGATTCTTTTGTATCGATCGTATAGGAAAAAGAAATATTGAAATGTCAAGTTATCAAACTAGAAGCAGACTCTTAGATTTCTTAAGGGTCCTGAAGTCTGTTTTCTTCTGAAATGTTTACCCGATATTTTAATAGATTTTTACTGAAAGTTGTTAGATAATCAGCTATCTAATATATTGTGTTGTTTTAGGTTTCGCCTTGGCTGTTGTTTTCTGTACGCAATGGACTAAGTTGTAAATATGTTACATCGAGATCAATCGACAATGAGCGACGGGATTAGTTACTACGTCACAAGGAATCCGAACAGCGATACGAATTGGACAACCCAGAATTCATCGACCAGCGACGGAACGTTTTTCCTATCGGATGCCGATTACATTTTCGATAAGTTTTACGTCAGGATCATTTTCATCAGCCTGTACAGCATCGTTTTCGCGTTGTGTTTTTTCGGTAAGCTGTAATCTTAATCTGCCTCACTCGTTAGGCTCTCTATAGTGTCCAGAAATGATTTCGTTGTAATAATTTAGTTTTGGTTATGTTAAGATTGTAAAAATAATTTTTGTTTTAAGAAAAATCAGTGGCGTACCATCAATGTCTGCCAGAGTAGGCATGTGACTGGTGTATTTAAAAAAAAAGTGGTACACTAAATAATGCCTTTTGATACATGGTAGATGTTTGCATTAAAATATGTAATGTGCACTACTTATTCAATAGAGGAGAAGAAGAGAATTTCAAAAGTCATTTCTGTAAATTGAAACTGGACCGAATTTTCCTTCGTATCTTTACTGGAGTGCCAAATACGACCCAAAAAGTTTTTTAATTATTCCGTAATTATGAGGAAACAATTTCTAAATGGAAATTTGTCATTATTGGACACGAAAGGAACAACAAGTAATTAACAATGTCTTGGGAACGATTAATTTATTTTTTCTTTTTTATAAATATAATTTCTTGCTAATATAACTTCTTTTAACTGGTTTTGAATATTTCACTCTTTTATATTATAATATAATTTTGTATTTGTTTATTGTGCAACTCATAAATAGCCTGACTGTTATTTAAAATAGCCTCAAAAAAGCGAATTAACCAACGTTTTTAATTTAGTGAGAAATACATAATTATGAATTATGTCTTTTGTGTATAAATTTTTAGGTGCCCAAATATTGACTCCCCCGTACATTTTATAGCAAAGTTGTAATATGAATTTTTCAAGGGGCCGATTATCAGTCATTAAATTAAAATTAGCAAAATTCATCATCATTATTATTTCTTATTTAAGCAATTATCTATCTGTTTTAAATCTTTATAATTATTTATTATCATTGCAGCTTGTGACTGTAAAAAATATTAATTCTTCGCGTAGAGGAGCATTGTTAGTTTTAAGAAGAACGGTCGAGTTTACTAATGAGGAGTTGGCAGATTATATCAAGACCGGTTTCCTAATAGAGTCATACTTGAAAGACGAACATTTTCAAATATATATAGAAGGTTCACTGAAACAGGTACTTTGAGGGCCAATTATCATCGGACTGTGAGAACTCCAGAAAATCCTAAGCTTCGCACTAGAAAAATTTTGCGCGATTTTCTATTTTATCCATTCCAGATGAAGCTAACTTTTCCACAAAACCATGTTCTACTTTTTTTCAAAAAAGTTGTTATTAATTAATTATGAATGGTAAGTAGTGTTTTGTTTTAATGATAATCGTTTAATATTTATCTTGTTTGGATGTTCTGTTATTTCATTAAAATTGTCACAGTAAAATAAACATTCTTCTAATTTATCAAAGATGTTAGGCTTTCACGGCCAGAAACTACATTACTAAATATTTCCGGGCTTTTGAGCCGTGGTCCCGAGATTAAATTATTTAGTAATGTAGTTTCCGGCCGTGAAAGCCTAACATCTTTGATAAGTTACCATTACGGGATGGAAATATCAAGAATGGTTCGTCGACTGGAGAATCTACGAAAGAAGAAGGCTCAACTCTTATGTTCGCTCGCCTTTTTATGTCGTTGTAGAACAGCTGATCTAACACCAAAATTTCTAAAAATGAAAAGAACACTCAAGTCACCACAAGCCAACAGAATTTATAATCGGATGGAAACAGCCTTTTTGCGGGAAAGAGTCCATCATACGAGACGCAGCATGGCCAACTTAGATAACAACTTGCTAACCCTGAATCTAAAATTAGCAAATTCCATGCATAACGAGGACTGGGACAAAATAGATAGACTTACTTATGGAACAATGGAAGCGACAAGGGATTCTGCAACCAGGAGACAAATTAAGAAATTCAATGACCTTCTAACTAAGTCAAGTGAATCTCCCAGCACTGATTTGTCAAGGACTGTGGTAAACCTGTCTCAGCGGAAATTATCAGCGGAAGAAACGAGCATCCTCTCGAAAGGCGGGAACTTCGCAATCACACCGGACTCTGTACCATTTGAAGACATCATTGCAAACATCGAATCAGGAATTCGTAACCTGCAAGCAGATGTCGCAGAGGAAATTCGCACAGAAAGTGCCAGAATTTTACGCCGGGCGAAGCCACCGAAGAGTAATGTCTCATCGAAGGAAAAGAGAGCAATTAGAGACCCCAATAAAGACATAAGCGTTATAGTCCTTCCAGCTGACAAGGGGAACGCGACTGTAGTACTAAATACCGTAGACTACGAAAAGAAAATTGGTGATCTGCTAGACCCCAAAACATACAAAAAGTTACAACAGGACCCAACCAACCGCATCCTAAAGAAAACAATTACGTTAATCAAGAAGTCATCTATCGAACCAGAAATCCAGCGAAAACTAAGCAATCCGGAGGCATTACCACCAAGATTATACGGATTGCCAAAAATCCATAAAGAGGCAGTACCCTTGAGACCCATAGTTACCGCTATAGGTTCCCCGACTTACCATCTCGCCAAGCATCTAACCAAACTCCTTGAACCACTCATAGGGAGGACAGCATCACACATCAAGGACTCGACTCAGTTTATACAGAAGATCAAAAACATCACATTGTCACCCAACGACATATTAGTGAGCTTCGATGTTGTTTCTTTGTTCACTATGGTGCCAGTCAAAGAGACTTTGGATTTAATATCTGCACGTTTTCGGAACGATGTCACAGAACTTTTCCGACACTGCTTAACCACCACTTATTTCCAATGGAACAAGGAGTTTTATGAACAAGTTGACGGTGTAGCCATGGGAAGCCCATTAAGCCCGGTCATAGCAAATTTTTTCATGGAAAAGTTTGAACAGCAGGCATTAAATACTGCCCAAAAGAAGCCCAAGTGTTGGTTCCGCTACGTGGACGACACATTTGTAATATGGAGCCACGGCGAAAAGGAGCTTCAAATCTTCTTGGCGCATCTCAATTCCATTAACAATAAAATAAAATTTACCATGGAGACAGAAAAGGACGGCAGGTTGGCATTCTTAGATGTGCAGGTCGAAAGGCGACCAAATGGAAAATTGGGTCATAAAGTTTATCGAAAACCCACTCACACGGAACGTTACCTGAACAAATTATCTAATCACCATCCGAGACAGAAAATGGGGGTAATAAAAACCTTAATGACAAGGGCTAATCGGATTAGCGAACCCAAGTACCTACGTGAAGAGATTAATCACTTGACCTATTCCCTGAAAAATAACGGATATACCACCTCTGAAATACAAAAAGCTATGAAAAATAGAAGATCTAAGACAAGAGATACGACAAAGGAACCTCAAGGGAATGTATCATTTCCTTTTATTAAGAACGTCACAGACAGGATCGGTAAACATTTAGAACGACACAACGTTCGGGTTGTCTTTAAACCAACGACTACAATCAGACAAAGCCTCAGGTCTGCCAAGGATACAAGGGACGCCTTTTCTTCACCAGGGATATACCGCATTCCGTGTTCCTGTGGCTCGGTATATATAGGTACCACAAAGAGAAGCATTGAAACTAGGCTAAAGGAACATAAAAGGAACTGCCGGCTTGGACACACGGAAAAATCAGCAGTGGCAGAACATGCTTTTTACAAAGGTGACCCTCGTATCATGTTCAAAGACACGCAGGTACTGGACAAAACACCACATTTTTATCCACGTCTTTTCAGAGAAGCTATTGAAATTCAAAAACATCAGAATAATTTCAATAGAAAAGAAGAAGGTCTCAATATCAGTAAAACATGGACTCAGGTCATCAACAAAACAACGTGTTTACCCAGACAAGCTCAACCCAAGCCCGCCACCGAGGTCACGCCCACTACAGCGCGCTTAAATACTTCAGATCTTCCAGTCAACCAACCAGTCATCGGAGAGCAGTACGGAAGAACACTTCGACCGTTACCGCATCGCCGCTCTTGAAAATGTCTACCGCAGCTGTAGACGAAACGTCGAGTTTAATCTCGGGACCACGGCTCAAAAGCCCGGAAATATTTAGTAATGTAGATTCTTCTAATTTTTTTCTATATAGAAGTGAGGACAGCCTACTGACATGTTTACACAAAATTATGACATTTGCTTTTATTTATGAGCAGGTTTTCATTTAAAAATAAAAACTAATTTCTCTGCACGCTGTCATATTAACGATATTTTATTATTATTTTGCATGTTAAGAGAAGTATCGACAGGTGAATTTCCACGTGTCCGCCACTGGTGCGTTTGAACATGGTTGCCAAATTTCATTAAAAGTGACATTAAAGAAATTTTATTTTTGAAATATTAACCACCCTGTACTTCAAAAGTTAATTCGTTTAGGGCATATCTTCACATGAAATTTTCTTTTTAAAATGGACACAGTTGTCGCCATCTTAATCATTGACATTCAATTACAAATAACCCTGCATAAAACAAACTTTTCCCATAATTTTCAAAGTTCATTTTCTCACGATCTTAATAGTAGATTTCACTGTCTGACAATTAGTGCTGGAGTTCTTTTGTTTTCACGCATTAACGAACATAAAAGAACTTTTAGTATTTAGTTAGACACACAAGATTCATAAATCGTGTTTACTGTCGGGTTCGTCTATTACGAGGAAAATCCTGCTAATAAAGCATTCTACGGGCGTAACGTAAGTCAATCATTATGATTTCTGTGCTGTAAATGCAAATAGAGTTGGGCTGCGAAACGACATCAAAGACGTATATTTGAGATACGGTTATATTCACACAAAGGAAATGAAAGATCGGAATCAAGTTGTCATCAGGAGGCAAAGCAACTATATTTATGGCCATGTATGTTTGAGGGTTCTCCCCACTTTTAGTCTACGTGTGATTAATACGTTGGTGAATAGAGAATATCGATGCTTTCTGTGACTGTGACTGGAACCTTCGGCACTGCACTAAACGCGCGACTTTCGGTTTTTGGTAAAACGCGTTATTGTGTGCTTTCTGTGGAGTTTTTTTTTAAATATTATTAAGCGATTTCTTTTTATATATGACATTCAAATCTTCC